ACCAGCCATCCCAAAATGCATTACACCAACCCTCAGGGCACTGCACTGCTAGACATGATTTCTGAGATCAACAACTCAAATAGCTTCTTCTCTGCTGTCTCCTCCTGAGGAAGTGATAATAGGGATACCTCAGGATGTCCACAGCCATAACTGTCACCCATATGCAATTAGAGTTGGAGCACAAAGAAAAGAAAAACCTTACAGATATAGTGAGAGCTTATTTATTGGTGAAGGCAGTGGGGTAGATGAAGGCTTATTTGAGAAACTATCTTGCTTGAAAGTCTGGTTTGAAAAATATGTCTGTCATTTCATGTCAGTGTGAAAACAATAAATTATCCAAAAAATTGTTTAGGACAAGTTGGGGTAGCCATCTGGAAAAGAAAAAAAAGTTGGATCTCTACCTAACGACTATACCAATGTGTATTCCAGATGTATGAGTGTGTGTGTGCGCGCATGTGTGTGTTTTCCTTTCCCCACTCTAGTAATGAATTTACTCATATTAGTTTCCTCTTTTTAACCTTATTTATTTATATTATTTTATTTTTGCATGTTTTTGTTCTATATTACCCCACATCTGTTTAGCAAGTAAGGACAATACATGATAAACATGTGGCCAATTATTGTGTCACAAGAATGAAACACATCATAAGAGGAGATAATTGGTAACATAGTAGAAATTTAAAATGGACTACTTACAAAGACTTTAAAGCATGCTTTAGACTTTAGACACCACTAAGGAAAATATTAATAAGTTTAAACAACTAAAAATTACAGACTTTTATAAAGCAAAGGAAATAAATAATAAAATAAACCTGAAGTTAAAAAAAATCAAATGGCAATTTAGGAAAGAGAATTTAGAACAAATATGTCAAATACATAATCTTAATTTATGAAGAGGTCTTATATGAATATAATATAACAGATCTATTTATATACACTAACATGATATGACACCCATTATTTGATATTAAAGGGACAATACATGTTTGCNACTAGACTGAAGAACAAAACGACAGCAACTTGTCTGTTCCCCTTCCCCCAATTCCCCAGCACTGTTCCCATCCCTCCAATTCCCCAATAAAAATCTTTAAAAAAAAAACAGAGAGAGTAAATCTCTGAAAGGAAACAGAAGCGAGTCACATGGAGAGTGATATTCAGTTGTCTGAGAGGGAGAGGGGAATCTCTGGTAACAGAATGGAAGCTGTTCTGTTCACAAGACATTTTTAGGACTCGGAGCTATTTATCCACACAGGGAGTACCCTTTGTCATTTGTATTAGCTTTAGCCAATATTGGTTCTGGTTCTTGAGTTTGGGTGGAAAGAAACATAAGCAGTTATCATTTGCTGAACTCTTCCTTAGGCAACCAAGCATTTTCTGTACCTTAACTAAGTTTATTAATTTCTTTTTCTATTGTTATCAATGAGAAAACTGAGGTTTATAAAGGTTAGGAAACTGGACCAAGATTAAAAAGCTACTGAGTGCTCGGATAGTATTTCCTTATCAGCATTTTTCATTAACATCAAGCTTTACATGCAGCTTCCTATGAATGAGTGCAACCCCCAGGGACCCTGATGAAGCTCATGGTGAACTAGCGAGAGACCCCCTCTCCCACCCTCCTGAGAAGAGGTCACAGAAGAGACCTCCAACTTTCCCTGACTCTCCAGACAAAATTAGGTACACCTATCATACGATTTTATACTTTTACTTA